ATTCTGAATGGAAATCAGTGAAAATAAATGGAGGGACAGGCCTGATAATATAAACTTGCTGGCTCCATTTGTTCAAGAGTGACTCAATACTTATAGCCAGACAAAAATAAGCTAAAGACAAGTGAGGAATAGAGTAGGCGATGGACACATAAGCACTCACATAAGAATAGTCAAGAATATTAACGGATATTTGTCAGGGTCAAAATATGGATCAACAAGAATGGATAAATAGCCTTGTTCAGAAGCCATAACAACTCATCTGGTTTATTGTAGTACTAGACAATACAAGCTCTGTAGGTGCTTTGAGTGGTTAAAGCACGGTTACTTTTACTAATATTGAATGATATGTTAAGCGTTTCGGGTTTTAAAAAACACAATAATAACCATGCAACTCAGTGATCAAGAATATTCCTTTATTACCTAGACGCCGATTACATTAAATTTTCAAATTTGAAGTTCTGTCAAGATTGATTTTGTTTGTGTGACAATAAATCAGTGGCGTCGTAATCACATCGGGCGATATCAACGATCAGAAGATGAACCGAAACACCAGGATTTGAGCACAAAGAAAACTGACGCGTTCTATTTAAAAGGATAGTGGTATTGTTTCTCGTTGAGTTAATTAACTGCTTTCATTGTAAATTACGCATCAGAACTACTGTTTACACTTTAATTGCATCTGCTCCAGTTATAGTGATATTGTATTGAGTGTTTCGGTTTTGCTTTTGTGTCTTTATTGCATCGAAGCATACTTGGTCGACTTTTGTTTGATTTATTTAGTTAAGGTTTGAGAATTCTTTTACATATCCTGTTTTTGTCACCGTTCTAGTTGATTTTCAAGATGGCTTGATCTTCTCATAAATGTGGACAACCATATTGCTTATTTCCCGTGGAGGAAGGGATGCAATGTGATGAGTGTAGTAAGTGGTTCCATAAGATGTGCATCCAATTAAGCCCCACTGCATATAAAAGGTGCTCAAAGCCCAACCCTCATTGGCTTTGTAGTTTTTTTTGCTCGAGCAAAACATTGCTTATCCTGGAAGCAATTAGTCTCTTGGTGTTGGCTAATAAGAAGGTTGATGAGGGCTGTACTGGCAACATTGGTACTGATGGCGAAGATTGCGTTAGTGTCGTAAATGCTGTCACGGCGCAATCCATACATCTAACTGTGCGACCCGCTATTAAACCGTCTACCCCGAAACAATCAATGAGTGACACCTCATTAGATATTGGTGGCCATGTTGCTACAGCAGCAACTGGTGACCCAGATAAAACAATTAATGTCCCGATTGGTTCTAATGTGGATGCTACGACTGATGGAAAATGGATGACGCGAGAACACAGAAGAGTAGGAAAGACATCTAAAATTAGTGACTGTTTACTTGATAAGTCCTAGGTGGACTCTCAGACCACTCCGCCAAAGTCCCATAGTAAAGCTTCGTCTAACACTGTTGCGCGTCACTCGCTCGACTCCCAGGACTCTGTTAAAATAAAAACTAATTGTAAGATACCAGTAGTTAAAATACAGGATCTAACGTCACGATCGAAATCTGTGAACACAATTTCAAAGGAAGCTCAACCCCTTCCTAGTTTAATTATTTGGAATCTAGAGGAGTCGAAAGATAACGACCCTGCTAGAAGACATGCACATTACCTGCAGTTAGTGGAGTCTGTGGTAAGAAATGTGCTACCTGAAGAGGTTCCAGGGGTACACATTACAAAAGTAATACGACTCGGTAAATGGGTTGGAGGCGAGACCCAACCAAGAAGAATCCTGAAGCTGGTTATTATTATTATTATTATCATTATTATTATTCACAAACATCTTATGGGTACATAAGTGTTGTGAAGAAACCATTTCGGGTTTCTTCAGAAAATGCAATACACAATTTTCAATAATGTTGGCATTATACTTGCCATATTTTTAAAAAAAATTGAATAATAATGATAGAATATTAATAATAATAAATCGGGTCTGTGTAATTGAGAAGAATATTGAATCGAGTTTAAAGAAGGAAATGGAGAAAATAAGGGAATAGAAATAAAGGAGACTTGAAATACGCAAACGGTTTAATAGGCGTGTTTGTAAACACAGAACAAGAATAAACGACTATGTGTGTATCGTTAAATTAGTAACAAAAAATAATTTATCATTGTAGTGAGATATGACGCTAGAATAAATGTTTGTGCACTTATAGTTTAGAGTGATGCTATGAAAGTCACAATTAAGTGAAAAGGATAATAAAATATCACTATGTATGAGTCATATATGCATAGTGAAGATAAAACGAATCTGAGAAGTTAATATAAGTGTAACACAAGTTATTGTTTTAATTACAAACTTCGTAATCTTAAGAATAATATTCATTCAGATGGAAAGAAGAGAAAGAAAAGAAGTGAACACCTAGTGAAAAGGTTCATCCATGATAAGAGTTTTGAAGAAAGAGACATTATTGAAAAGCGCACTAAAAATTCGTAACTCAAATATCCGTATTCGACCAGATTGGCCGCTTGAGGATCGAATCAAGTGGAAGAATGCTCCTACGGAGTTGAGGACTCGCTAATTAAATGGCGAAAATAACCTTACCATTAAGGGTTTTCGGGTAGTCAGGTCTTGGAAGCCAATGCTTCCGAGGCCTGTATGGGTAGAACGATCGATTGCCAAAACACCTCAAGTGTGTGCTACACGAACGCTCGTAGTCTTAGAAATAAAACGTCCGAGCTAAGTCTGATGGTGGAAGAATTATGTCCCAACATAATCGTTGTTACAGAAACTTGGTTCACAGTAGATATAGACTGTTATCCTTTCATTGCAGGTTATATTTGTGTTACAATTGATAGAGTTTCAAGTCGCAAAGAGGGAGGTATAACATTATGCGTTAGGGATCACTTTTGTATACAATCAACCATATCAGTGGAACATTTGAGGTTGCATGTTGTAAGATTAAATCTAGAAATGGGTTAGTGACTATAGGGGGAATATACCGTAGTCCGTTTTGTCTTGCTGATGACTTTATCCTAAGACACATCTGTTCTTGGAGTATGGCAGAATGTTGTCTCATCATTGGGGACTTCAACGCACCGCATATCAAATGGATAGAGCTTACAGCTCCAGGTAGTGGTTTCGATAGCGACTTTTTATCTACCGTTATTCAGTGTGCACTTGTACAATGTATCACAAAACCGGCGAATGAAACGTAGTGATGGTATTCGCCCGTTACTGTTACACGAAAATTCAGAAATACTAGCTGAATCAGATTGAGCAAAAGCTGAGACTTTTTCCGACTATTTTAACGAAGTCTTCTCTACATTCATTGCAACAAATACTTGTCCCACTCACACTGAGATACCAACCATTGAATCTGTACATGTGACTGAGGAAACTGTCCTTCCGTTGATAAATAACCTCAAACCTGGTATTATACCAGTATTATCCACGGTTTCTGTCATCTCTTGTGGACATTATTTCAAAACCGCTCGCGACACTATTAAACATGTCCCTTTCACTCGCTCAACTCCCTAGAGATTGGAAGGACGCTATAGTCAGTCCTATATTTAAGAACGGTCAGCGACAGATATTATCTAACTACCGGCCTGTTAGTCTAATTAGCATAGTCGTTAAGTTACTTGAAAAGATAATTCGGGTTAGGTTGCTAAGCCACATAGATTTACACAATCTGTTAGCTCCTGAGCAACATGAATTTCGTAACAAGCGTTCATGCTCGACTAACTTGCTTATTGCGAGGGAGGATTGGACAGCAGCCCTAGATAACGGTCTGTCGGTCGATGTGATATTCACAGATTTTAGCAAAGCATTTGACAAGGTTTCACACGTAGGTCTTATGCAGAAGCTCACGAGCTTCGGAATAATAGCTACTGTACGTGAGTGGATAGGAAATTTCTTATGTGACTGCAGACAGAGAGTGAGGGTCAACGGAACGCTATCCAATTGGAAGCCGGTCAAAAGTGGTGTACCCCAAGGCACCATCTAAGGCCCTCTGCTCTTCCTTCTCTACGTTAATGAGTTACCCCTGTTGCTCAGGTCGTCGACATTATTGTTTGCGGATGATGTAAAAATCTGGAGAACAATAAAAAGTGCGGCTGATCATCTGGATCTTCAAGCTGACGTGGACGATTTAGTTAGATGGGCTCGAGAGTGAGGCTTAGAAATCAATGCTAGGAAGAGTGTGCTAATGAACATCGGTCACGGTAATATTTAGGGTAAATCTCTTCCTTTCGTTCAAGAACATAAAGACTTAGGAGTGTATTAAGTCATGATTTAAAAACAACTAAGCATTGCAAAGCAGCCTCTGTCAAAGGTTTTCGTGCGTTATGGTCACTTCGCCTAGCGTTCAAATCTTTTGACGAGGAAACGTTTCGAATTTCATATCCCATATATGTTAGACCACACTTAGAGTACTGTATCCAAGCAGCTAGCCCGTGTATGGTAAAGGATACTAACTCCCTTGAGCGTGTCCAGCGTGTAGGATCGAAATTAGTGAAGGGTATCTTTAGACCCCCTTACGATGAGCGTTTAAAACGCCTAATTCTTTTCCCCTTGTCGTATCGTAGGACACGATGTGATCTTATACTGGCATTTCGTATCTTTAATTATGATTTGGATGTTAATATGTCTTATCTTTTTGCTCCCTCCAGCACTAGTAATCTCCGCGGTCATAGCAAGAAGGTTCATAAACCACGATCTAATAAACTTAAAGTGGGGTCCCGTTTTTCTCATCGAGTAGTCAATGATTGGAACGCCTTACCCGAGTAAGTGGTATCAGCCCAATCAGTGAATACTTTCAAGGCGAAGCTGGACCTTCACTGGAAAGCAATATGTCAGGATTAATACAGGTTCACCAGCCTACTACCCTTATTATTGAAGACTGAAGACTAAAGAAATCAATTGGTTCATACAAGCTCATCACAAAGATATTGATTACTGAACATTGCACTTTTAAGGTCGTGCGTGTTTGGTGATTACAACAAGTAAGTTGTCACGAGGCCTTAAGTTAGTCTAGATAACTACGGGTAATAAAAATATAGGCGTTTCGTTTTCTCAGCTGAGAAATCTGTTTGTTCGACCATGGATTTTGCACCTATATTTGATGTCGTGTTCATTACTTGGGATGCTGTATATCATCACTCTGTCTTCTGCCAAAGAAAATGTTTAGTCTGAACTTAGGTTCAAATGGTTCAAATGATTGTGGACGGAATAGAAGAAGCTTTCGCTTAGCAGGCTTCCGTGTCTAGTAGCAGGGGATCACCAAATCCTCCAGGAAGGAACCTAGGTATGTTAACAATAAAAGAGGAAAAGAAATTGGTAAATCATAGTGTGTTACTGTCCTTGGTCCTTAAGAATAGGTCAAGTTGCCTTTTGAAGGACTCCTGAGAAGTCGCTTGGACTAGCTCGGCCGGCAGCGAATTCCAGCATTTGACAACTCTTAAGGAGTAGAAGTTGTGTCCACATTCCGTCTTGCTATGTTGAGTTTCCAGTTTCCGGGTGTTACCCCTTAGGTTATTATTCGAACTAAGCTTAAGTAGGTGTTTAAGAGGATGTCCAAAAGTGTTAAGAATACTATAAGCCACTAATAAATCACCTCTAAGACGCCTATACTCTAATGGGTAAAAATCTAGTGGATGGAGACGTTCTTCGTAAGGCTTAGATTTGAGTCCTCGAACTGATTTCGTGGCTCGCCGTTGGATACGCTCCAAAGTAACCATGTCCCTTTGGAGTGAGGGGGGGAGTACTATGTTTCCGTACTCTAAAACTATTGAAGATTGTATGGAAAGTTCTTCCGTCAAACTGGCCAAAAATGCTCTTCAACGTTACCAGTGCAAGGTTAGCTTGGAAGGCATTTTTGTCACAGTTAGCGTAAGACTTTACATCATGGGGCATCAGGACTCCTAAATCTTTTTCGACTTGGGATACTACTAGAGAGGAGTTTCCTAAGTTGTAACTGTAGTTTGCGACATGTCGCAGATGGACTACTTTACACTTTAAAGTGTTAAAGGTAAGTCCATTATCGTCTGCCCAACTTTGAAGTCGAGTCAGATCCTCCTGAAGCGCCTGTGTATCGTCTTGGTTGCGTATCTCTCTCAAAAGTTTCACGTCGTCGGCAAAAAGTAATAAGTCTGACGTTACCTGTTGAAGAAGATCGTTTATGTAGATCAAGAAGAGAAGAGACCCTAATACTGAGCCGTGGGGGACCCCACTAGGACATTCCATAGCCTGAGATAAAGTGAAATTAACCCTAACCTTAAAGTGTCGATTTTTTTTATTTATTTATTTATTTATTTCAACACATAGATAATGGTACAAAGAGGCACCAAATACATATGCGCCACACAAGTCTCATTTGATTTGTATGAGGGCTGTGATACTGCCCGGGTGCCCAAACCGAAGCAGGTGGTTATCTTAGGGGGCCACACCCCGAGCCTTCAACCCAAAGGTCTGATCCACAAGGCAGTGGAGCATCGTAAGGAGATGCAGTCCCATGGAAGCCGGTGACCAACAGTTGGTTCATTCGCCATTTGTTCCCGCAGGATACTGGAGCCCATGTGCACCATTGGTTTGGAATCCGGTTAAAGCGCCGGACATTCGCTTTTCGTCCTCTCATTTTCGTAAACAACACCCCCGCCACGAGAAGGCAGTGAGTAGGACTTCCCTGGCAGAGGCTATATACGCGTGGCCGTGTGAGAGTATTTCGAGAGGGAGAGCGGACTCTCCCCACTCTCGGCCGTACCAGGGCATTTGGGGGCCTCAACCAGAATTAGCTAATCCATGCGGTAAAGTTGCAGATGGTGATTTAATTTGGCGTTATCTAACTTTACCACATTGTCAACGTTTAGAGATAGCTAAAAAATCCGGTCAAAGTTTAGAAAGTATAATGGATGATATAGCAGAATTGATTGCAACTACATTGCATTTCTGATATTTATTTACGTACTTCATCTAATCAATGCTCTGTTGTATCATCTCAACTGTATTTTACTAATATCTTCATCAATTTTTAGGTATGAAGTAAGCCAATCGATTAGAGGTGGTTTGATACCTAGTCGTTTGAGCTTATTGATAAGACACAAGTAGTTAACTTTATCAAAAGCTTTTGAGAAATCAAGGTAAATGATATCAACCTTTCCCTTGCGATCGAGGATGCTTGTCCATCTGTCCACCGCAGTCAGCAGGTTGGTTATACAAGAGTAACCCTTCCTGAAACCATGCTGTTGGGGTGAGAAGAAATTTAAGGACAGTAGATATTCGTTTAAACCGTTACATATCAGGGACTCCATGAGTTTTGAAGGTAATGACAGAAGAGCCACCGGCTGATAACTTGAAGGTTCATTGCGTCGACCACCTTTGAAAATTGGTGTGATGTGAGCCAACTTCTAATTTTCCGGTAATTTGCCTCGGCTTAGCGAGTGTGAAAACATTACGCTAAGCGGCGTTGCCAGGATTGAGGCTGCCTCCCTCAGTATGGCAGAATGAACCATATCCGGGCCAGGAGAAGTATCTAGTCTTAAGTGCTGCAGTTTCCGGAACACCAAGTCAGCGCTTAGGTCCACTTCGGAAAGTCCTGTGGAATTACAGGTGAAACTGTCGTCAATAAAGTTGATGTCAGCCGGTTGAAATGCTTGAGAGCCTTCGTGCATATGTTCCTGATATGTTTATATTGCCTATACGCTCCGTCGTTATTAGTTCGTTTGTATTCCGCCCAAAAGTGCCTTTTGCGGCTTAGCAGGCGAAGGGTACGGTTCTTGATTACTGTAGGTGACTTGCAGCTTTTGGGAACCGTTTGAGGAACTGAATAGTTTGTAGCATATACGAGCGTGTGCAGTAAGAAGTCCCAATGACCGTCCACATCGAGTTGAGGGGGAACATCCCAAACCACCTGTTGTAGATAGTCACGTAGAGCTGGCACATTCAGCCGTTTAAAATTCCAACGCAAATTATTGTTGGGATACCTTAGCTTAGTTTTGATGTGAAAACTAACTAATCTCAAAGTGCTAGCTAATGCGTTGACCACTGTGCTAGTCAGACGTGTGTATGTAATTAGATATGAGCTTCCTCTATATGTCCCTAGTAATAGGCTTAACAACGTCCTTTTAATTCCTTAGTAGTTTAGTTCGGAAAAGCGACGTGTTGAATGAGCGGCGTTGAAATAATACCAATGATGGATGACAACAATCGGTGGTGTAACCCATCATTACCGATTGACTTACCTGGTCCAAGCTACTAGGCAATCGAGAACGTGTTTCCTGAGTCAAGTACTGATTCCATGGTTGTAACCTCAGGGTTTGAAGTGTCAACATTACTATTCTTCGAGTACATCTCGCTGAAGTAATTTTATGAACTTTCGGCTTTGACTGCACTTAATTCATACCGTGCCTGGATTTACCATATAACTATGGCGTGGGAACAACTACCATTTTGTTTAGTTTTCTTTAGTATGAGGAAACTGTCACCTTAAGCATATATGGCTGTTGTGTACTAAACTGCTTCTCATCAGTAGTGGGAGACAGCGGTAATAGTTTAAATATGTTTCTAACCAAACAGTATCCAGACTTAGATGTTACATGACTCGCTGTAAATGACATGTCTCAGAAGTGTTTCCTACACCTCAGTAGCTTTTAAAATTACTATCGATCATTGGAGAGCATAATGCTATACTGCACTCCACGAATAATAATCCCACTAAATTCAATACAGATGTACTTTGAGAAGATTAATGTTAACAAGGTTTCTTCCGTTAAGAAGCTTAGCTTTGACTTTATTCCCGAGACTATGAACGCGTGTATAGCATACGTTTATGGTGTTTGAAAAGCACTAGCTTTCAACACCCTAGTAATGGAAGGTTTATCTCCTTTTTGCTCCCGAGATTTTAATCCATGAAACGCTCTCCACACTACCCAATTAGTCACTCATACGCGATGTAAAACTTAGTACATGTGTACATCGTTTCAGGTTACTACACTCTATCAGCACAGGGAGTTACAATTGTCAGGGTAAATCTCAGAGTAATGGCGGTAGTAACAGCATTAGTGGTAATAGAAGACATTAGGCATCGAAGATACGGCTTGAGAAAATATTATTTGGTGGGATAAAAAAAACCACTGACAAAGTATACCTGGTGTAAACACTAGGGTGAATGTGAGTATTTTATATGTGGAGAGCATAAATCTTACAAAAACAAACTAAATAGTGTTTAAGCACCATTTTCTCTGACCAGCGACACTTACTAGTAAGTTAGGTAGGCTAGGAGTAGCTAAACTAATATGTAACATCGGTTCATGAATTCACTGACTTTGTTTAGGCCACGTTGGCATATGCAAACTACTTGGTTGGGTCCTCTTGATGATCGTAAACAGTGGTTAGAAACGGGTAATGACTCAGATTCGTCTACAATGGTTCAGATTCATCTTTCGATTTTGGATTCCAGTATTCCTTTATATATACGTTTCCACTATGTCTTTGCAAACTATATTCCCAAGGTTTAGCATTTCTTTTCGATCTCGTTTTCACCTCAGTTAATCAGATATGGGAACTTCAGTCATTATACATCTGAGCTAGGTTCTATATTAGTGTCTGTCTCCCAGATAGCACAAACTAATGGATCAGTCCAAATGTTGGAGCCAAAATAGAAAACAGTGAAAGAAATGGTGACTTAAGTTAAGGCTAAGAGTCAGATAACGACACGATCAAAGGCGGTGAACATAACTTTTAAAGAGACCGAATCCGTCCCTAGTTTGATCATTTGAAATATAATGAAATCAAACAACACTAAGCCAGCCAAACGTCAAGCACAGAATGGGCAGTCTGTCGAATCTCGGATCAGAAATATACTACCAAATGATTTGGGAGTACATATTACCAAAGCAATAAGAATTGATGAATTGGCGGTGACACTCAACCTCGAAAAACTTTGAAGTTAGTACTCGGAAGTAATTATGAAAGAAAAGTATTAAAGAAGCACATCAAATTCATAACTCAGATTTTTGTATCGGGTTGGACTGACTACTTGAGGATTGAATAAAATGGAGAGAGGCTGGCGATGACATCTGATACCTCAGACAAAAGTAGGTGGTTCTATGTTAAAACATGGAACTGAATTAATTCTGGAATATAAATATACATAACCTGATTGTTGAATAATTATACGGTAAGAATATTTATCGAATATTAGTCCATTAGTAGTCCTTGGAAGTTACCTGTAATTTAATCTTCGCTCGGATATATGTTATAGTAATTCGATCGCCTAGAAACACAAGTTCTGATAACCTCATGAGTTTAAACCTAACACTTAGTTTGGTTTATTGTTTCGCTTCATCCATAAATAGCTCACGTCATAGAAGTTGATGAATCAAAGCTATTCGAGCAAAAACTAGTAATAAGAGTCGATGTTTGCTAATTCTTTTTAGTTTCTCTCACTTGACCGTTTAACGGAAGAATGCATAGCTAACTGTAAGTATAGGACACAATTTGAAATACTATACTGTCTTGTGGATCAGACCTTTAGGCCAAAGGCTCCGAGTGTGGCTCCCTAAGAAAACCAAGTGCTTCGGTTTGGGCACCCGGGCAGTATCACAGCCCTCACTCAAATCAAATGAGATTTGTGTGGCGCATATGTATGTGGTGACCCCTTGTACTAATATTTGTGTTCAAATAAATAAATTTCCTAATCGATAAAGTTTTCTCTTTCAGGTTTCGTACTACTATCTTTTTATCCTAAATCCTTGTTATGTCTACGTTACCTGAAGGTTGGGTATCTCGAATCAGCTCTAGTAGTGGTTTGTTTCTAGTTTCTCTTTATAACTTAACAAATGTTTTATGAAGGAAAACCATACTATGTTAATACAGTTACAAATGAGTCACAATGGGAATATCCTCAGCATCCAGTCATATCCACAAATAAAGTTCGATGCTTACATTTACTAGTGAAGCATAATGAATCTCGACGTCCCTCATCTTGGAAACAACAGAATATCACTCGATCTAAAGATGAAGCCTTAGATTTAATAAAAAGTAAGTTTATCACTACTTTTTATACACAAAACTAAACTATATATTGACTTCATACATTTCTCTTAAGCTTGATGTATGTGTTGCATTTAAACAATATTACTAGATATTGAAAATCATCTAATTCAATGTTCATCGGGCATGATAGACAGAAAGTGAACAGGAGTCTGTAGAAGAGCTTTTACTGTCTTCAATAAAAGGTCGATATGGAGACCAATAATGGTCAAATAAACATTTTTTATCTGTTAGCATTTCGTTAAAATTAAAAACTCAATTAAACTAGATACTAAAAAACATGTGGCTGAAGTTCAAAGGGTTTACAGGTCACCAGTATATGGTAAATATGGTTTTGGGGGTTAGATATTTCAAAGAAAGAGTGTATCGTATTAATAAATTGGTTATCCTTTCTCATAACTAGAAATTCATGCTTTCTGATATATATATATATATATATATATATATATATATATATATATATATATATATATATATATATATATATATAACGATTGTGTTTTGGGGGGATTATGTGCTTCTTAGACTAGAATAAAGGATTAAAATGACCATTAAACAAATTGGTGTAAAAAATAATTCCGAATGATGAGAGAGGCCAGCGAAAGAGATATTTGTATCTCTCCTTTCATTTCACATCAAACCATTCTTATACAAATGCCAAGAATTTCTCTGTGATTGAAGAAATGAATTCAACGGAAATCTAAGACTTCATGTATTTTTATCAATCTATACTAAATTAACTGAATATAGTTGTCAAGATACACAAATGAACTGGTCCGGAACCCTACATAATTAGGAAAAAGAATCGTTTTTCAAATGGAGAAACATCTATTTGAAAAATCACGAGTCTGAAATGTTTTAGTTCCTAATTCTGTTATTTTTGGTCAATATAAATGAATTCAATGTTCAAAATATGCAACCCTGTTTCACTGCAATTTATGTACGAATGTAGAATCGATTAATGTTTATAATTTACACTGAGTTACCAATGGGTAGTAATTGATGTATTATTGTTTAGTCCTGGGCGTTGATTTCAAATTCTCTTGACCTGATTTCAATGTAGCCACTTATTTTATTTATTTATTTATTGTTATTTGAACACATAAATATTGGTACAAGAGTGCGCCAAATATATATGCGCCACACAAAACAATGAGAATTTAAAGAGAAGGAAAAAGGAAAAAGGTAAGGAGCGTAAAAAAGAACAATAACTAAGAGATTAGTGTAAGGTAGTGTAATAATAACAATGGTAATAATGGGGGAACCGAAAGGTACAATCAGAAGAAATCTTCCAGTTAAGGAAGATACAACCACTTTTTATGAAGAAAGTAAAAGAAGGTTACAGCAGAATCGCCACTAGCTTCTATTCTGAGTCATATCTGATAACGTCTCTAGCCACTGTGTAGCACCATCTCTCGGGCCCCAACCAGGAAGTCATGAAGGACCAACATAAGCCAGTCCTTTGCAGCTTTTCTTCATGCCACGATACCATGTCATATACTGACCACCTCTCCGCTTTTTCCAACCAGTCCCAGAGTCGGCAAATAATGCACGACGTGGAATTCTCTGGGACGACATTCGTAGAAGATGTCCGAGCCACCGAAGTCAGTGTTTCAAGATGGTAACACCAATCGATTTATCGTCTCTGTGCCCGAACACACGATGCCGAACCTCTGCATTACTGACATGGTGTTGCCACTGGGTGTCAGCAACCCTTCGGAGACAGCGATGATCGAACACAAAGAGTCATCTAAAATCCTCAACTCAGAGAGGCCAGGTTTCACAAGCAGAGAGCAAAACTACTCTCACCGACGCGTTGTAGATCCGACCTTTTACAGCCAGACTAACATCACGGAGTCAAAGATGGCCCAGATTGGCATAAGCCGCTCTGGCTTTCACTATATGTGCATTAATCTCATCAATCACACCCTCACCAGCACTTATGCAGCTACCCAGATACACGAACTTCTCGACTACTTCTATCTGCTCACCATCCAGGGTGAGTACAGGATTGGAATCCTGCCATTCTTGTAGAAGTACTTTTCACTTCGAAGGTGCAAAGCACATACCATACCTACGGACACTGATTGCCAACTGATTAAGTGCGGATTGCATGCCTTGGGCATTATCACACAGTAAGACAATATCATTCGTATACTCAAGGTCGAGAAGTCTTTCTCCAGGCAACAGATCCACACCGCCATTACTTACATCCATCAGAGCTGTTTCCAGAATGTCGTCGATGGCAAAGTTGAAGAGGAATGGTGAGATTGGGCAACCCTGTCTAACCCCACTGCTCGAATAGAACAATGGAGAGAGGTGGTTGTATGCCCTCACTCTGCCTGAGGTGTTTGTATGTAGGGCTTTTAGTATATTAATAAACTTCTCAGGCGCACCCTTCTTCAATAGACAATCCCAGAAAACAGTCCTATCCAACGAATCGAAGGCAGCCCTCATGTCAAGAAGCACTACGATTGTTGGCCTTTGATAAGTATCGCGGAGGGTGGGGATATGATCATATCTTCACCCTCCGCCGATCATGTAGCCACTAGTCTAATTGAACATAGGGTAAACCTTAAATAAGATGGGGCGTTTGGAAACAGTCGCCGGAAAGCCATCTCTGACCCTTAGATTTCTTGCTTATTGCCAGTCGGGAGCTAAAACGTACCTGTTGTGGTGTTTCCTGTGAAATATGGACTCACTTCACTCAACGCCTTAATCAAAAGTGTTCCCACTCATAGCTGAACTGACGTTGTTGTAAGATTTTAATGTTCTCATTGACTGATTACAGTTTAGTTTGTCTAATAGAGTTCGTACTTATTTTTCATATTTACAAGTGTGTTTCTTCTTTTCTCTTTTAGAATACAAACAACAAATTGAAGCTGGTGAATATACATTTGAAGAACTTGCCCGAACTGAAAGCGATTGCAGTTCAGCTCACTCTGGTGGTGATTTAAATTTCTTTAGTCGTGGTCAAATGCAAAAACCATTTGAAGATGCTGCATTTAAATTAGAAATTGGTGAAATGTGTGGTCCTGTATATACAGATTCTGGAATTCATTTAATCAAACGAATTGCATAATAAAACAATAATAGGCAATTAAATTGAATATAAAACTTGAAATATTTCACTTTTTTGCATTTGATTTAAATAAAAGATCATGTTTATTAATAGTACTTGTTATCCTTTCTTTCTTAAAAGTCAGTAACCCAGTATTTCAGTTAACTGTCTATGTATTGTAAATTTTCTACCTTTTTTGGACTGAAGTGGTTAATAGTGATTTGGGAATTACTTTTCTATATCGTTTCATGGTATTTTATCTTATGTAAGTTGGATTGTTTATTCCTTAAGTTTTTCTTTTATAGCATAATGCTAGATAATATCGCATCAACAATGAATGAGAATTCTTTACTTTTCTCTATACTGAAAAAGTTGATTATACTAAAGTATTTTATTATAATTAATCTTGCAGATTAACATCTTAGTACAAAATGTACTTTGAGTGAAGACTCAAGGCGACATAGAACTATGAATTTAAGAGTAGATGACACGAGATTGGGACCTGTGACTGGTTAAAACACCGAGTAACATCTCAACATTAGTCTTGATTGTAAATCGACTTGAGTTTCTGTAATCCATTTAACAAATTATATATGTGAATTATCAATCCAACTAATCAGTCATCAGCAACGTAGAATCTAACACATGCATAATCATAGGTCCAAGTTGTCACACTACATTGGTGCGATTAGATGAAATTATCAATATAATTGCCAGAGTAGTGGAGCCCCCAAATGCCCTGGTACGACCGAGAGTGGGGACAGTTCGCTCTCCCTCTCCAAATGCTCTCACATGGCCACGCGTATATAGCCTCTGCCAGGGAAGTCTTACTCACTGCCTTCTCGTGGCAGAGGTGCTGTTTACGAAAATGAGAGGACGGAAAGCGAATGTCCGGCGCTGCAACGGGGTTGGTGGACACGGAGAGTCCACCTAGAAGAGTTGGAAAACCCTGATTTCAAACCATTAGTGCACATGGGCTCCAGTATCCTGAGGGAACAAATAGCGTATGAACCAATCGTTGTTCACCGTCTACCATGGGACTGCATCTCCTTACGATGCTCCACGGCCTTATGGATTAGACCTTTAAGTCGAAGACTCCGGGTGTGTTCCCCTAAGAAAATCACCTGCTTCGGTTTGGGCACCCGGACAGTATCACAGCCCTCATACAAATCAAATGAGACTTGTGTGGCGCATATGTATATGGTGACCCCTTGTACTAATATCTATATGTTCAAATAAATAAATAAATAGAGTAGTAGAAATACTAGTAGTGTTAGTCTTAGCAGAAAAGATTAGGCATAAGAAACATGATTTATGAAGAAAATGAATTCTCAGGAGTACAATGTAGCTTTAAAATTGAGAATCTAAGAGTAGACAAAGTGAGCGGGTTTATGCCATCTTCACTGACTTTGGGCTATGTTATCTGTCGTCTCCAAACATTGGTTACGATAATCGCGTGGATCCCAACCAGGCAGCTTGCATTTACTGCCACAGGCCAATCTAACAATCAATGACTACATAGATTAATGCCATATTTTAGTTAGGCTGATTGCTAAATTATCTGAATATTTAAGCTATATGGTTTTCTATGTTACCTTGAATTAAGTATCTTTGCACTTTCCTAATCAGCACTGCTCACATAATTATTTACTGATTGTCGTTCTTTTATCAAATTAACACTAGAACTCGATGTTCTGAATAATTTTGTCAATCCCATAGTTGCTATCGTCTCATAGTGGTAAGTTGAAAGTTAACTAATCTATCGTCTAGGTTTCTGTTTTAGTAAAGGTGATTAGTGCCAAATATCTCATTTACATGCAGCTTTATTTTGATACCTCATTTCTGTTTGCGACAGTATTTATTCCCCATTTTCTTCATTTACGTTCTCACTACTCCTTAGAATTTTCCTCATTTTGAATAGTTTACCTAATGATGAAAAGAAACCATTTGATTTATTTTTATAAATCGCTGAATATTCCCTCTGAACACAGCTATGTATTGTATTCTAACATGTATTAAGTGCCAAAAACTCATGTTTATCCATTTATGTAAAGGCCTTATATTTTATACAGCTGTGCTGTTGACGGTGTAACTGATATCGAGACATTTCACAATTAGAAGTTTGTAAACTTTTAGTGTTGATTTTGTTTTTTTATAGTAGTACGGAATTTTGAGACAAACCTCCTTTTATAGGTTCGTGATATTATAAGTAACTCAATATGTAGATTATAATCTTTGAATAGATTTTATAGCACATACATTTTGTTCTCATATTCGCACTTGATACGACTTAACATCCATTCTTAATGCGTCATATGGGTCTAGTTAGTTACACATGACCAGTGATTTATGGAAAATCATATTGAAACAATCCTTATTATTTTCAGTGAAGAACAACACTAGTTGATCAAATAAATGTCACTCAGAACACTTGATTCAATCAATTCAATTGAAAATACTTTATGACAAGCATATAATAAAAGAATGTAAGGGGAAATATTGACATGTAACATCTTAATGCGTTAAATAAACCTGTTACGTTTTGTACACGTATGTAATAAAGTTGCTAGGTTGGTAACCATTTCAAGTATTTATCTGAGACTAACTATTAAAAAAAATAGTTTCCCACCCCGTATTTATTTAACAGAAAGCATTTGACAATGCTTTTAGGATTCCATAGAATTGAGGTTAGTTCGGTCAAGGAAAGGATGAAAGTGTTATCAATTTCTTATGAATTCAAAGACTTGTTTTGTGAATTCGAATTCTTATAACTTCTACTATGTGTAAGAGACGAATTCAAACCCCACAGAGAAAACTAGTAAGGACAAGATGAATCACTTTAAATGACCTATTTCTATCTACTAAATGACCATCGACCAAGTGGAATAGAACAGGGCTGCGTATTATTTTGATGGTACGCTTTCTTAACCCCCAAATGCCCTAGTACGGTCGAGAGTGGGGAGAGTCCGCTCTCCCTCTCCAAATGCTCTCAAATGGCCACGCGTATATAGCCTCTGCCAGGGAAGTCTTACTCACTGCCTTCTCGTGGCAGGGGTGTTGTTTTTGAAAATGAGAGGACGAAAAACGAATGTCCGGCGCTGCAACCGGATTTCAAACAAATGGTGCACATGGGCTCCAGTATCCTGCGGGAACAAATAGCGTATGAACCAATCGTTGGTCACCGGCTGCCATGGAACTGCATCTCCTTACGATGCTCCACTGCCTTGTGGATCAGACCCTCAGGTCGAAGGCTCGGGGTGTGGCTCCCTAAGAAAATCACCTGCTTCGGTTTGGGCACCCGGACAGTCTCACAGCCCTCACACATATCGAATGAGATTTGTGTGGGGCATATGTATTTGGTGCCTCTTTGTACCAATATCTATGTGTTGAAATAAAAAAATAACCATGAATAGAGGTGTTCACTAACTCTTTGGATCAGTTATTTGGTTGTGCGCCCTGTATAGCTTTCTCCATAAGAGCAGCTGAATTCGTAGATACACATAGAGGTGGCAGAACCAGGTAACTTCTCCTTTAGTTGAGGAGTCACCATAAGTGGTATGGAGAACGATAGACATTAAACGCCCTCTTCATTGCCCTAGTCATTCTATCTCGTAGCATATCATCAGCTATATCCGTTGAGTTGTAGCTTCAGGAAGAGAGGTTTCTTACTAACCGTTGATGCCATTATCTTTCTGTCGGCTGCATGGAAGTATTTCTTCATAAAGCTTTATGGATAACTTATTTCAATCGATATATTGTGAATACGCTCTGGTTTCTTGTTTGTAGTATCGTCTGAGCATATCTTCCTAGCTCTATTTGTAAGGGATCTAACTAGGTTTCTATTATAATGAATGGGTATAAAGCTCAGGAAATATGTCTACTAGCTTGCTGAAGAACTTTTTCTATACATCTACTGATATAACCACTTTCTTTTTGTTTGAAAAAACGTCGAGGAAATATAGTTTGTTATCAAATTACTCATCATATGTAAATCTGATCGTCGGGCACTTATTGTTAAATAGTTCTAAGAGTTCCTCTTCCCCAATGTTCTGATTGACGATAATGAAAGTATCATCAATGTAATGGCTGTAAAAGTCAAGCTCATCAATAACCTTTCTGAGAGGATCCGTTTACCAGTTTCAGGAGAAAAAAAATCAACAATGATGGGACCTAGAAGTGAACCTGTCGCTATTCCATGAGTTTATCTACAATGTGTTATTAAGGACAAAAATATTGATGTGTTTTTCAAGTAGTTATTGACCCACAAAGTTAATTCTCTTAATTCATGGTACAATGGTGAACAAGAAATCAACATCTAGAGATAACATCTGTTTCCCATTTAAGCGCATATGTTCCACCTTCGAAATGAAATTGAAAACGTCTTTAACGCTTCTGTTAACGACTAGTTCGTGTAGGAGATTTAGTATTCGAACTAACCACATTTCAGTTTTATGTTATTGGAAATTATACATATCTAAAGCTGGACGAATGGGAAGCCCTGACTTGTGGACTTCGGGTAAATTATATAGTCGTAGTATGCTCGACCCAGTGGGTTGAAATGAATCATGAATGATTGGAGTAACTATGCACTTACGTTTCAAATCTTCAAGGGAATTAGTCAGTAGTTTCTCTACTTTTATACTTATATCCTAAACGTCGAGTTTTAGAAATCTAGTCAGATAATTCAAAACTTAGTTCATTTTGTCGATGTAATCAGTTTTGTTCATTAGAACGAGCTCCTCCTTTGTTTGGCTTGTTTATGATCAGTGTGTTATCTTTCTAAGCTTGTATAAAGTATCTCGATACTAATTGGTAAGTGGGGATTTCATAGTATATTTACTATTTTTGCCAGATGTCAACCAACATGTTCTTAAACCTAGTAAGTTCATCCTAATTAATTGGGGACCGATTCTAGTCTGTTCAATTATCTGAACACTTCTTATTACGTTATCTTCTAATTTTTATGAATGTTATTTCAGTGTTTACATTTTTCAAGTCATTTCCCATTATATTAACATTGATTCAAGCCTTTATTATTCTTATCACAACTAGTACATCTATCATTACATTATCAATTTATACTCTTTACTTATTATATTTAGTTATGTAATCTATTCCACAGTTTTGTTCGCTTATACCCTTGTTTTCTTCTAGTTCACAATATGGGGAATTTTAAAATTATTATCCCTACTCGCAGGATTCTAACCCAGGGACTATCGGTCTTAGATGCACCCTGCTGAGGAGTCCCATAATAGGATTAAACGGACGTTCAGTGCTTGCAGATTTCCCATGGCGATCTAGCTTCAATTGACTCATGAATTCAACTACTAAATTTTAA